CTAGCAATTACATGTAGTAAAAGGATATCAAGTGAAGAATGGAATTTAGATCATATGATGGAAGTGGATATTAGAGGAGTTGGAGGCAAGAGAGACAATGGAAGTGGGGTCACAGGAAGATGGTAGAAAGCCAAGGGAGAGCCATATATAAGTAGGAGCTACGCTTCTTGGTGGTCATAAAGATCGAGAGGTATCATGTTGCTACTGTAGGCAAAACAGGCATGAACCCAGATCATGTGCAAAGGTAAGAAAGGTGGAAGTCAGGAAGCAGATTTTATGCAGGACAGCGAGGTGCTTTATATGCTTATGACGTCGTCACATTAGCAATCAACATAGAAGTTCTAACAGGTGCACAAAGTGTAAGGAGAGACACCAATATCAGTATTTGTAACAACACCAAGCACGGGACAGGAACACAAGCTAAGGAGCTGAATCTGGGAGCAGAGGCCTTCAACCCAGAGCCGTCAGCTACACTATGTGTCACTTACACAGGCAAGGCCATACTACTTCAGACAGCTGAAGCCACAGTGCACAATCAAAGTCATCCCTAGCAAAAGGCAGTAGTACAGTTTATCTTAGACACAGTAAGTCAGAGATCGTATATAACAGATCGTCTTACAAAGAAGTTGGGTCTTCAGACTCTTTCAATGAAAACTATGACAGTCTTAACATTTGGTTCAAGGGATGAGTTCAGGGAGAAGCATGATATAGTCAAGGTAGCTGTAGTAAGCAAAGGTGGAGATGAGTTAGAGCTCAAATTACTGACTGCCATACAGTGTGTGCAACAGTACCCACACCTATGCCACTTGGACCTGGCTGACACAGGAAGAGGGACTCAAATAGAGCCAGATATATTGATAGGGTCTAATTTCTACTAGCTGGCACCTTGTGAGCGGAGAGACAATTAGAGGAGATACAGGACCAACAGCCATTAATACCAAGCTTGGATGGGTTCTTTCAGGGCCAGTGATGGGAAGACCAGGGCTAGATACAGCTACACTTGTAACACACATACTCAAAGTAGACACAACTACACAGCTTCGCCAACTTGATAGAAGCCTACAGAGGTTCTGGGATTTAGAGTCACTTGGGATTGTAGACAAGGAGGAACAGGTCTGAGTAGCTCACAGAGCATATTTCCATAAGGGAAGGCAGATAAGAAGTTGCACTGCCTTGAAAAGACCCTCTTGTGACAATTTCTTCCCATTATGAACTTAGCCTGAGATGATTGAGGAAGTTAGTTCAAAGGCTGAAACAAGACCTGGAGACATTTAAGGCATATGATGGTGTCATCAAGGAACAACTCAAAGCTGGAACTGTGGAAGTAGTTGACAAGCCTAATGAGCAGGATGGAGAGAGAGTACACTACCTCCCTCACCATGCTGTGATTCGCAAGGACAAGGATACAACAGAATACAATAGTCTATGATGCCTCTGCAAAAAATAGGCCCATCCTTAAATGACTGCCTTCATACTGGACACAAACGCATATTCTAAACCTACTCTTAATGTTCTGTATCTACAGGATTGCACTGACTGCAGACATAAAAAAGGCAATCCATAATATCTCAGTGGCAGCATCAGATAGATGTGTTATGTTTCCTGTGGATAATGTAGGAAAATGGAGCTGATAATGACATACAGATATCACATTTCACCCATGTAGTCTTTGGAGTGTCTTCAAGCCCCTTCCTTCTAAATACCGTAGGTCAGGATATATTTGCAGCTTCAATTATTCGCAGTCATAAAAAAGTTCAATTAAAAACCATGGAACATTGCTATGACAATAAGACCACGTGTTTAGTGTTCAGCTATTCATCTGTTCTTTAGCAGCTTTACTGGAGCCATTCACCAATAGCGACTCCTTCTCTATCTGTTAACTTCTTGTATGGACCTCTGCCTCAGAGTTCTTTCAGCCTCTTTGCTGCAAATTGTTGCTGGTCCACGTGGTGGTGATAATAAACCACACCCAAGTCAATAAACACTAACTAGAATGGGCAGAGAGTCCCAAGATGCGGCAAGACAGTAGTTCTGTAAAGAACCGGTAAAAGCAGCTCCAAAGAGACCAAGGCTTAGTAACACAAGAAGAACAATAGCTCAAGAACACTACAGCAAGGTGCTTTCCTTCAATATCATGCCGTTTTCAATTAAAATAACACCTCGGTTTCCAAGGTTTTTAATTGAAATTCTTTATGACCACAAATAATTGCAGCTGTGAATATATCCTGACCTACAGTACCACAATTCGGAAACATGTGGAAGGGTATTCCAAAGGATATCCACCAATGATAGCGAAGTTGGTTAATTCGTTTTATGTGGATGATATGGTTCGTGGGGCAGAGGGGGAAGAGGAAGCTTTGGAGCTGTACCAAAATTCAAAGGAGCTCATGAAGGATGGAGGTTTCAATTTTTGGAAGTTTCTTACTAATTCTCCTTACTATCATTTGTGGTTGAAAAGCACATTGAGGTAGCTAGAATGGGCTTTTCAACCACAGATGATAGGAGAACATTACGAAAGATTCACAAAAATAGTAAATAAAATAGCTAACCTCAAAGATCAATCTTTGAGCAACAAAATGAGTCTCTGTATATAGTCTGGTATGCCTTGAACGAAGAGTTACAGTCCCACAAAAACAAGAGTTGTACTGGTTTATGGCAAACAAGATCAAACTATGAAAAGTGGTGCACGTGATCGAGTTTCTAATCCTCCCCTCGTTACAATATCTATGTCTTAAGGTGGGTTTACAATATGACACTAGGCCAATGTAACGTCAAATTTTAATCAAAAGCATAGGTGATTTGACCTTTTCACGTATGCTTTACGCTGGAGTTGAACCAGATTCAACTCCAGCATCAACGTAACGTCAGAACAAGCGTCATATTATAAATCCGCCTTTAAGGTGGGTTCAGAATATTTGCCTTGCAACTGGAAGTGCCGTATAACGCAATGATAAACGCTACAATAAAGCAGATTTCTTTCTTGCATTTACCCATTGCGTTATTCAGCACTTCTCTCAATACTCTCAGTTGAAGTACTCGGTATCGAACCGAAATGGAAAAATCAGGTACCGCCCATCATTATAACAGCTAATTATCTATTCTTTAGTAGCTTTAGTGAGAGCCATCTAGTTTTCTATCCGCCATTTCTTGTATGGACCACTACCTTCGAGCTCTTTGCTGTAAATCTTTGCTGGTACACATGCTGCTAATAATTAACCACGCCCAAGATACGGCGAGGCAGAGTGAAGAGAGTAGCTCTGGTTGTAATCTCGGGGCCAGCCCCTTCCGTTAGGGGCTTGCCCGAGACTACTCTGGTTGAAACAACTCCAAAGAGACTAAGGATTAGTAATAGCATGAAGAACAACAGCCTAAGAACACTGCAACAGAGTCCTTTGCTATCAATATCGCGGCTTTTTCAATTAAAATTGCATCTGGTAACCATGGTAACTGCTGAGTGCAGGAAAAAAAAGCAACCAGAAATATATCCTGACCTGCGGTATAACTCTAACATTCTTCAACTTTCGTTACATGCATGATTCATTTTTTCATTATTCAAAAATACTTAATTCTAAAACATGTGAACACTTATTCGTTTGGGATACATGTAATAGAATGTCCTAAAATGCTCATTTTTGATATTCATCCATATTTTGATTGAAAGGAGGCAGAAAATTTAGCAGAAATTTTATGAAATAGTTCTATAAAAGGACAGCGACAAACAGGTTTTTGATTCTAATGAGCAATCATACATGTACCAATCAAGTACAAATCCATATCAGACCCTCTCTATTCCACTAGCAAAAACCAAGAGAGAGTTTTGATATTATTCCCATTCTAAAGCATTATACTGTAGTCTACCAGGAACAGTGAGTATCTTAATTTAAGTCAAAAAAGTCTCTCAATTACACCATGTTAGCATGACATAAAACAGTACAGCCTTCATAACTTCCAAGCTGTCAGGATACAGCTGCAGCAAAGGAGCAACTACACATGAGAACATCAGCACTTACATAAGGGATCAGGAATGTACATGTACATGTGTCATACATATTGAGTGAGGTAAGTATGGTCTCGTTAATATTGGTTTTATTATCACTGATTTTAATGTCACTGTCAATTACATGTACATGCATATACATGTACATGTATATGCCTCCTGCTTACTCCTCACAATTAGGAAAAGCAGCAAGAAACAATGTTCCTCTTCTCATTTGCAGGTAAAAAAGAGGACCTACAAAGAAGCTCAAATGGTGGTCGCTCAGTGGTTATCTTGCATTTCAGAAGGTTCTGAGTCACAATAACAAAAACCTACTCAATGGATACCATGGTGTAATCATAAGAAATTATCTTGCTTCATGTATCCAGATTCTAGAGGGACTTTAGGTTTTAAATGGCATCAGAAATTCTTATGTCATAGAATGGGAACATGGCCCACAATAAACTATTGGAAACAAAACTAAAAATAACCATAGTAAACCACAAGAAGCTAAATCAGCACACCATTGACACTACACTAGTATAATAGGATGTACATGTATGTGTTGTAAGTGCCACTTGTACAGTTGTCAGAGAGTGAATGAGGTTTACCTGGCTATTCTAATCAAGTTGTTAGGGCCTCAATATTACCAAAACAGTGAAAACGTTATTCTATTGTTAAATGAGTTTTCAACAGTTAAAATTGTTTCCTTGCTCATTCCCCGTAAATTCAATTGTCAGTCTTTTCAGTCATCAATTAGTTTCACCTTAATTTTCCTCCAACAATTATATACATGTACATGTACGTGTAAAAGTACATGTAATCACGCGAAGTTGCAAACTTGTAATGTCTGCTTTTTTCTCAGTCTGACAGTTGACTATATAGATTCATAATGACATGTAAATCTAGTTCCTATTTTCAGGCCAATTACACTCAGCATTGATGCTAGAATAAAACAAAACATACATGTACGTGCACCATGCTTACACCATAAAAAGTAGTCTAATCAGCAAACAAAACTTACCTCTTTAATTAGCTTCCTTTCTGAATTTTTCATACAAACATAAAGTCTTAAATTCTCTTCAATAGCATGAATCTAAAATAAAATCAAGCATACATTATATATATGCACAAATAGAATAAAATGCTTTGCACATTTACATGTACCTGTAGCTAAAAACATTTACCTGAATTTAATTCTACATGTACAAAGCATTACACAAATTCAGCTTAAACTAGTTCCACATACATTAACTTTTGCTCTATCAGCATAAAATCTCAAAAATTTTAAGTATCACAAATATTTCCAGCTATGGTATCCTTGTACTTCACAATACTTTAAGACTCAAAAATTATAATTTAAATAGACTGAACTGGGAATGAATCACTATCATTAGTAAGTGTGCAAGACTAGATATACTGTATGCTGCTAAAAAATTCTGATTACATGTCAATGTACATGTATATGTGCATTTTATGCCACATAAAAATTCCCACTATGGCATTAGTAAAAATAGTTAAAGTAACTTACTTGATATGTACTAAATTTCAAAGAACATTCCGCAAGTTGAGCCCAAAATGATTCAGGAATAGAGGCCATTGGAAAAAGACTGCGGTTAGAAAATGTAGCGTCTATAAAAATTAACAAAATTTAAACCTGAAGTTATTACAATATAATTCCATATACATGTAGATCAATTATGAATAATAAAACTTACTAAATCCTTGCTTCAATTTATTCAAATGAACATCAGTGATAACAGACCTGCCCTTAAATCCTACACAGACAATATACTGCTCTGAGTTTCCAGCCTTACTGCTGACTGGCTTGTAAACATTAACCTTAAAATAGAAATACAAAATAATGACTGCATCTGAGAATATGAATAACATCAATATCTTTCCTTTGGTAGTGTCTCATTTGAGCCCCTGTAGTCAATCATAAGAATAATTATTAAATGTGAGCAAGGTACAGTACTATTTTTCTCCAATAATTTTACCAAAAAAAACACAAGCATTGAGAGAAAAAATACATGCATGTTGTCTTATGTACCTAGGAATCATTTTTGAACCACAGGCATTTCTACTTGTACATGTAAATAACTATATGTACATGCATGTAGGTAGTACCAAAATACTAGTGTTGTTTTGGTATGAACATTTGTTTTGGTTATAGTTTTAGTTATAGTTCGAATGGTCACTTTTCTTGTAGTTTAGTATTAGTTTTGGTTTAATTCTTCAATCCTTTTTAGTTTTAGTTTTAGTTTTAGTTTGCAACTTGAATAATGTTTTAGTTCTAGTTTTAGTTTAGTTTCAGACTTTGATTTTCTTTTAGTTTTAGTTTAGTTTTAGTTTAGTTTTAGTTTTTCCCTATTAAAATATATTTAGTTTAGTTTTAGTATTGAAGAAAAGTTTTAGTTTTAGTAAAAATTTGAGTAAATATATCCCATAGCACTAGCCATTTTCTAAAATTACAAGCACAATGTGGTAACCATGGGTAAACCAGGTGCATATAACATATGCATGCATGACATGTAACTAACTAAAAGATATTTTGGTTTATAGCATGTAATTGTATTAGTTTTAGTTTTTTTGAAAACATCATTTGACTTTTAGTTATAGTTTTAGTTTAGTTCTTTTACTCTGTTTAACTTTTAGTTTTAGTTGTAGTTTTAGTTTAAACCTCCAACGACATTTAGTTTTAGTTTTAGTTTTAGTTTACTAAAAGTACTTTTAGTTTTAGTTATAGTAAACCAAAACAACACTACAAAATACTCCACCTCAAACTTGATGACAAATATTTTTCCATAAACAGCAAGTACACGCAGTATGCAGCCATAATAGTCAGCCTATCTTTATCATATGTACAGTACCAGGAGCCCATAAAAGAAAAAGGAAAGGGTAGGAGCGCGCAACACCCACGCATTTAATTAAAATCACTGTAGCCTGCATATCCTAATGAGTTTACTATTTTTAGAACAAGGTAAACCACACCTGTTTAATAAAATGGCTACCAGTGTGAAGGTTGCTCTGAAAAAGAAGCTGTTTACATCTCAAGACACTGTACCAGCAACAGATTTATTGAAAGAACTTAAAACGATAAGTATGCTACCCCAAAAATTCAGCTCCTTACAGTAAAGCCTTCTCTCAATCAAGTGCAAGTTGGT